TGAAATTAAACAAACGCCTCATACAGCGGGTGGGCTTTATACCCCCTCCCCCGTGTAGTTCTTCTTCTCTCGTTTTTTGTTGTACTCGCCGTGAGGTGGTTTTGCGGCCTGCCAGTAAACCCAGAGAAGAAGAAGACGAAGTGACGTCAGCGTAATCTTGCCTCAGGGAAAGTCCTGCGGTGTGAATGCGGCTATGGCACTAGCCCCCTGGCGGATTCAGTGCCGTGGTACTTTAGTGCCGGTACTTTAGTCCCGGCACTAAAGTACCGCAAGTCCTGCGGTGTGAAAGCGGCTAATGGGGAGCGCTGTGGCCTCTGAAGCAGGTGACGAGCCGAATGATGTCCTCCGGACAGGATGAGCAGCTGTTGAGCACCCTCTGGTTCCGCTGGACAAAACGGCAGTCTTCTTTCTTTCTCTATCTCTCTCACAGATGCGATTGTCAATCTTAATAGCAGCCGCTACCATACTTTCTAAGTCTGTGTGAGGATCCATAAGCAATAAATGATCCTTAATTTTCTCTGATAGTCCGTTCCGAAATATGTCACTTAACGCTGAATCATTCCAATCGCAATCAATAGCCATAGTGCGGAACTCAATTGCATAATCCGCCACTCGGCGTTGATTTTGCTGAATGTATGTCAAATTCTGTGCGCACTCTACAGCTGGTGTGTGATGTGCAAACACTCTTTTAAACGAGTGGATGAACTGAGAGACAGAGTTGCAAGTTGCAGAATTGTTCTCCCACTCCGCCGTAGCCCATGCAGCTGCACGGCCGGACAGATGAGAAATGATAAATGCAATCTGAGCATAATCAGAGCTATATATGTAGGGCATTAACTTAAAGTGTAGATCGCACTGAGTCAGAAAGGAGTCATTGGAATCTCCGGAAAAAACTTATCTGGAGGGGCCGAGCGAGGCAGCGGGACAGCATGAGATCCAGGAAGCGGCGCCGCTGTAGTAGGAGGGGCTGCCAGCTGTTGAGGATGAGCCGCAGCATCAGGTAATGCCGGAGCAGTGGCACCGGCGTCCAGGCGTGCCGGCACACGATGCACCGCCTCCGCCATGTCGCTGATTTGGGTGTTGACAGAGGCTTGGAGTCCATGTTGCTGCTCCGCCAGGTCCCTCACTGCCAGGTGTATGACAGAGAACTTCTCCTCATGATGGTGTAGACGTTCGCCCTGAAGTCGTATTGCTGTTTTAACTGGTTCTTTTAACTGGTTCTGCATCTGCTAATTCCATGTTTTGGCCAGATTGTACTGTTAGGGCTGTACAAGGGCGTGGAACCAAATGCACGATGCAGAGACAAACAAAGTATCAAAATAAAGTGTTTTAATGTAGACAGGTCATAACACACTGAATACATAAAGCAACAAAACAAACACTACTAATACACTAATCTAACTCTGTGGACGATAACTCTATGGACAATGACAAAAGGATCTTACGCTGGAAGGCTTGGAACACACAAGACAATCTGGCAACGAGACAGGGGAAGACGAGAACTATATATACTAGACAGACAACACCAGGTGAAGACAATTAGACAATCACAACCGTGGGAAAACAGACAAGGCAGGAAACGTACTTTAGACACATGAGGGTAGACGAGACTATCAACATAAAACAGGAACCTATCTAAACACAGAACATGAAACCTAAACTAGGGAACAATTTTAGCAGAGCCGTCTACGCACAATATTCATGGCTGGTGAGGCTCTGACTCTTCAGGTTTACAAATATTATATTTTGACCTAAATCAAAATATAATATTATTTTCAAAAGCCTCTTTAGTCTGATGCTTCAATTAATTTTAAACAGACAGTTCAACAGAAGGATTCCCAAAAAATGTAATGTTATCATTTAAATATTGAATTGTTCTCTCTTAGTAAGATCCCATTTTCAATAAAATTGCAGTCTTACCTTGACATGAAGATGAAGTCCATTTGCCTATCCTTCTGGACAAACATCTCTATTACTTTTTTGTAAAAGTCCTCCTTATGTTCTTGTAGTTTCAAAAGTCTATCATAAATCTAAATGATGGATTTATGATTAGAAAATGATAAAAGTAGGCTAGACATGTGGATATTATCCGGCTGAACAAAACGTGCATTTATCAAACAGCTACGTTTCCCACAGACCTTATTTTGAGCTATTTTCTAAAATCCTATGGAGAAATCTCATTGCTTTTCTGTGGAGGGAAGCCATGCGCAGCTTACTTCCTGGTTTTAGGACGCGTCTCTCGTCTCCTCTTCACACACCACACTTTTCGCGGCACACATACTTACAGCCAATCAGTTCTGAATGATGTGAGATGACGTATGGTGGGGATGGCAGCTCTATGCCCCTATGGTCATTATTTGTTTGCCACACACATTAAATAGGAAAATACTGAACATGCGCAGTGTAGTTTTTACAGTCACCGTTCACTTAGACCAGGGGTGGCCAACCAGTCAGAGGTTAAGAGCCAATTTTTTTCTATTTTACTGCAAAGAGCCACATCAAACACACAGTCACTGATACCGCTTGTTTCAGTTTTTTGTTTTCTGGAGACAAGATTTCAACCACGTCACTGATGCATCTTTGTGGCATTGGGATATATATTTTTTAAATCCTCTGGAGCAGAGAGAGGAGCTGTGGATTATTGGTATTGATTAATGCATCAGTGTTTCTTAGGGTCAAAAACACTAAATTCACAACTTAAAATGAAAGCGTTTAGTTTATTTAATAAAAGAGCACATGTTCAATGTGAAAAGTGACAGTAGTTATAGATTATTTGCAATTTGGTGCTATGTATATATTAAAAAAAAATAATAATTATATATATTTTTTAAACACCTTGAATTCCAGGGGGGGCGCGGGGCTCCGTTGGTGGGGCGCAGCGACCCTCCAAGACAATGGTAGGGGAAACACTGGATAGTGTTTAATCAACGATAGGTTTCCCCCCCCTCAAAGGTGATTGGTTCACTGCATCACAGGTATTATTGTGATTGGCTCTTGGGCCACATCAAAATTAGACGCGCTGTCATCCTCTCATACTGACTCCTGACACCACACATACACACGTAGGGAGAGCCGGGACGAAAGTAACACGGGACGAAAGTAACGGAGCGATTTTATCCGAGCCCAAACAACTTTGACCGGCCAAATTACGTCAGAATGATCAGCATTCAATACTTAACAGACCTACTAAATATCAGGTTTAACTGTCAGGAGTAGCTAGCTAGTGTTGTCACGATACCAACATTTTGTTTTCGATACCAAGTCAAGAATTGCGATTCCGATTATTTTTCTATACTTTTCTTAAAAAAAGGGAAACAGTCTTAAATGTAATTATTGTGCTTTATTTCACACCAGAACCAGAACCATAACACAACCTTTAAACAATGAGAACAATAAATAAAACAAATGACAATAATTCGTATTAAATCAAATTAATACATTTCTCACAGACAGGCCTCGTGGTGTCCGTAGGCTTGCCCTCACTGTCAGAGATATAGCTAAAATACTTCCAAATTTCGCTTCTGGCGTCTTTTTTGTCAACAAGCCGAGGCGCAGCGGCAGTTGTACTCCCACTTGCAGCCATGCTTCTCGTTTTCTCACATGCTCTGGCAGCTAGCGCGTGCACGAGAGAGGGGAGGGACTTAGAACGTGCTTGAGAGGGAGGGACTGCAGGCACGGCTGCAGTGCAGGGAGTGGAAGCAGAGCGCTGAACACACACGGCTCTTATTAAAACGGCGCTTTCTCACCGGAGTACTTTCCCCCGTCATTCTTAAAGTACCGATACTAATGAAACGGAGGAATCGTAACGTTTTTAACGGCAGGGTATCGCGGTACCTTTCAAGTATCGGTACACCGTGCAACACTAGTCAGGAGTCAGTGTCTCTCCCCCAAACTCACACATATACAATTCGATATGAACTGAAGAGCCGCATGAAACTAGGCAAAGAGCCGCATGCGGCTCGAGAGCCGCGGGTTGGCCACCCCTGACTTAGACAGTGAGAGGGAGGGGCAGGATCGGGTTTTGTCCCACATGGCTCTAAACAGCTCAATAGGCACACACTGTAGACACTAATTAGAAGAACACAGACTAAAACAGCAATGAGACGAATCAGATGATTAAACATGATCTTAAAATGTATGTTATATATATTAATTTATTTTTTGCATTTTGTTGTAATCATTATTTGTATACTTTCTGCTGTGCCCCACCTGCCCCTAATGACCAGTCGCCACTGAACGTGAGCAATAAATGGAAACATAAAATGTATTTCTGGTGGGATCAGGATCATCCAGTTTGGGATCAAACTGATCCCAACCCTGTGTTGTCGGTTTGAACCCGTTTTGAAGATTTGATCCAGATTAAAGCTTGGATTGGATTTCCTGATCTGATCGGATATCAAAGTGATCCTAATCCTGTTCTTTGGTTTTGGGATTAAAAGTGTTGAACTCCTGGGCCCAGGTGGATCAGGATCAGGTGGATCAGGATCAGGTGGATCAGGATCATGTGGATCAGGATCATGTGGATCAGGATCATGTGGATCAGGATCTAGTGGATCAGGATCAGTGGATCAGGGTCAGGATCAGGTGGATCATGTGGATCAGGTGGACCAGTGTCTGGTGGATCAGGATCTGATGCTGTGCTGAGGGCTTCCTGCCAGCAGGGGGTGCTGTTTCACTGCCTGTCTCACTGCCCACTGAGAGGACAGACAGGAACACACTGAGACAGGAAGAGGAAGACAGACACAGAGAGAGCTGTACCACAGGAGACGATCCAACTGTTGCTGATCTGATGCTACAGCTGCCTGTCTGTCTGTCTCTCTCTCTGTCTGTCTGGCTGTCTGGCTGTCTGCCTGCCTGGCTGTCTGGCTGTCTGCCTGTCTGTCTCTCTGTCTGTCTGTCTGTCTGTCTCTCTGTCTGTCTGTCTGTCTCTCTGTCTGTCTGTCTGTCTGTCTGCCTGGCTGTCTGGCTGTCTGCCTGTCTGTCTGTCTGTCTGTCTGTCT